TATTAATATGTAGAGTAAGTGTATAGAAGGCCCCTCTAAGTCTTAAGAGTCAAGGGTGGCTTTGAGTTGAAACTGAAAGACAGGAAGAAGTTGCCCAGATGACTATGTAGACAAGCAATATGGAGGAAGGGCTGAGCCATTCTCACTTACCTCCTACCCTTGCCATCCTTCCCACTATAATATCGTCCCTACCCCATCCACCCCACTAGGGTCTTATAATTGAGATCTTGTGTAAGCTGATATGGTCCTTTATGTTTTCCATGATCTGTCCTTGAGAAGGTTGGGATAATTGGGGTGGAATGTAGCTATGACAAAGATGCAGCAAAATGTAGCCTGAGTCAAGTATAGAACCCCTTCTAATCTTGGAACTCAGACTGAATCGGAACTTCCTCAATTAGCGTTTCTCCTTTATTTATCACACAAGAATTGTTTGATTCCTTACACATCAAATAACTCTTACAAACCCGATTTGATGGTTGAAGGATAAGTGAATAACTAACTCATGAATTACGTTTTTCTTTTAAACACTTGTGAGTCATAGTTTAAAGGGAAAAGCCTAGCAAAATCATCATTATTGAACCCATGGTGCTGAAAAGTATTCAGACCCTGAATGAAACTAGGGCATAGCCAGGTGCATCCAACCTCAGCAGACTTGTTTGTGGTAAAATATACTTTGTTGCTACCACAAAGAGCAGGAAATCTGAAATAAGAAAAGGCGACCTTCCCCAACCCCTTTTCTTGCTTCATTTGTTTAGAACCACAAGATCATGCCATCCTTAAACATTGGAAAGCTCATGTGTAATGCTGTAGCTCATATCTCTTAAAGTTTTTACCAGGGAAAGGGGCTCCAGCCATATCAACATTGTGGTTTATAGTATCACCAAACAGACCTTTGTAGAAAATACAGCCTCAGGTCAACTCCCTTGGAAATCTGTGAGGCAGGCCTCTCACACTCAGAACTGTTTTTACAAAGTTTCCACAGTGTAGGATTCAGGGATATTTGTAATGGGATCCACATAAATGACTCATTGATATAAAATTATGCTTACTTTTCAAGTAATTTGTTTATGTAGTTACCTTTCAAAACTGAAAAGTGACTAAACATTTGCTGTTTGATTAACTCTCTGGCATATGTTATACATTTATTTATAATGGAACATCTTTAGTTTAAAAAAGCAACAAAAATCTCCAGATTTTGAGTTTGTCAAAAATACTAATAAATCAAAATATGAATAGTAAATTTTAGTTCATTCATAGCACAGTATAAGAAATTGAATTGATCCAAAAGTAATTTTATATGGATTAAGATAACTGATTTATGATATCCTTCAGTGAGGGTTTTCTGGAAATTGCACACTCAGAATCATGAATTTGTAACTAACTGTTCGAACTGTGCCAATTAAAATGCTGTTGCAAATTCATGAGGCTTTGCATTTTATTTTTTTAGGTTGAATGTTAATGTTTTCCTTTTCACTGAAATTGGAAAGCGAAATCATACAGATGTTGTATGGAGAAAAAAATTAACTAACTGAAGCAGATAGGTTGTTGCTATAGAATATGGCCAGTTGTCAAATCATGTCCATCAGTTTTCTTGGACCGCTCTCTTTTAGCCTGCATCTCACACAGAGAAAAAATAAAAACACGAAAAGCACTGGATCTTAGCTATGTATGAATACCACATAGTCTCAAAGAAAGATTATTACTTCCCTTAGTTTAGATTTGTGCTGCAATAGAATATTCTCAGGTTATGGTGCATTTGCTAAAAGTCAAATTGTACTGTTAACCAACTAGTATTGTTTTTTAATGTAGTGTAGGAAGTTACCAATGAGAAATGGAGGTTGGTCATCTATTTTTATCTTAACAGGGAGAGCAAGAATCTCTAGGAATCCCAGGAACGGATGAAGAGCAGATAATTTTCAAAGACATATGCCTTTATTTAAAGCATCCTTCTTGATGGCTACTTTTATTGTAGGCTTGAAGCCAAAATATCATGAGTGTTGATATTTAATACATTCTTTCTTTTAACCATTTGTTCTAGAGACTTCATTGACTCTAAAAAGCAGTTAGTTTGAAATTAGACATTAGTTTTCTTTGCAGAAACATCTAAGCCATATAATACTTAAGTTTTGTTCTTAATGCTTTATATCAACCTACCAGTGATTCCTCTGCAAATTTTTTTTCCATGAGGCATTTTATTTGTAAATATATGCATTACACCCCTAGAAAAAGAATCCCAGGATTTTCCCTCCTGTGTGTTTCGTCGCTTCTTCATGGTCCATGATGCCAGCTGAGGTTGTCAATACAATGAAACCAAACTGGCGGGATGGAAGCAGATTATTCTGCCATTTTTCTAGATCTTTGAGTTGCACATCAAATCTGGGGCTGATCACACCACACTTGTTTAGCCTGCCTGTGAGGTTCACAACAATTTTCCCAGCTCTGTGATCGTCGATGATTTCAAATTCGCCAATGTAACCATGCTTCATCATCACAGTGAGAAACCGTACGATGACTTTGGAGCACGGCCTAATAAGCACCTGGCATTTGCCTCTCTTTTTGGCATTGTTGATGCTCTTGAGAGCATCAGCCAGGACATTCATGGGCACCATTGTGGCGGCACGGAAAGATGGCGGAAAGAGGACGGGAGGGGAGAGTGCATGGAGTTTTGGCTCCTCTGCAAATTTTTAATAGACATATAAAATCATTACCAAGTTAGTAAAAATAGCCTGATTTTCATCAGTGAATATAAATATGTCAAGATTAAAATCAGTGACCATAGTTTCCACAAAACTAAATCTTGCCTATATGCCTTATTTAGACAATGTTTTCTTTTCCCAAATAAAGATGACACCTAATCTCTAGATCCTTAGAAAATACAGAAACAAGCAGGGCACTTGTAGCTTTGCAGAGTCTGGTGGTATATCTCTGAGGGTTCCCCCTAAAACAGAGGTTAGCATGCTTGCTTAATAAAGGTCTAGAGAGTAAATGCTTTAGGCTTTACAGGCCACATACAGTCTGTGTTGACGTTTTCTAGTTTTTTTTCTTATTTTACTTTATTTTACTTTATTTTTTGGTTAACACCTCTTAGCATTTTTTTTTTTTAAATTCACCTGTACAAAAATAATACCTGGGATGGATTTGGCCTGTGAGCCATGGTTTGGTGACACCTGCCCTAGAAGACTCTGAGCTGGAGAACGTAGAGAGTATTCAGAATTTGGAATGGAATCAAAAGGATTCATTTCAAGATCTTTAGTATTTTATCTGTTTCCATTATTTACTCAAGAAATGGCTAAAATCAGGAAAATCATAAGATATCAAAAGGATTCTTTTTTTTCCTTTAATTAAAAGGATTCTTAATGCAGTTAATGAACATATACTCCTCAGAAGAAAATATTAGATAGGAAAATTAGGTTTAGGAGATGTTATTTTTTAATATCAGAGTTATATGTTTAAATAATATAATGCCATATTAAATGAACATGTAATAAAAAACAAAGACACCCTAGGTGATTTGCTATATCATAGATCACACAGAATTTTAAAATCTGTCTATGCTACTTGTCTCACTGTTGGTCATTATAAGTAATTAACTTAACATGCATAATGATATACAATAAGGCCCCTACAGATACAGTAGTTTGCTTTTTTTTCTACAGACTTTGCAAGGTTTTCTTCTGTCACCAAGTCCAGTGGGTTGCCATCCTGCTGCTCTCTATCACTAGATCCCTGAACAAAATCTGAGTCTGATTAACCAGTAAGATCTATCGATTCATTCAGGCATGTACCCACCCAGTGGGTAATTCTGAACTAGGTGCTGTGAAATAGGTACAGTTAACAAGAAAAGTTCCTTTCCATAAATAATCTTTTTCCATAAATAATTTTTAATAAAAAAAGATAAACAGATTTGTGCAGCCTAGAAGCCCCTTACCATATAACTATGATCATCTCTATTGAAGAATGAGCCATTGGTCATATTGAAGTGAGTTTTCTAGGATAAAAATAAAAAATTAATGCCAGTATTAATATAAAATTCAGGCCTGGCATGGTGGCTCACGCCTGTAATCCCAGCACTTTGGAAGGCCAAGTTGGGCAGATCACCTGAGGTCAGGAGTTTGAGACCAGCCAGACCAACATGGTAAAACCTCATCTCTACTGAAAATACAAAAATTAGCTGGGTATGGTGGCACATGCCTGTTGTCCCAGCTACTTGGGAGGCTAAAGCAGGAGAAAGGCTTGAACCTAGGAGCCAGAGGTTTCAGTGAGCCGAAATCGCACCATTGCAGTCCAGCCTGGGTGACAGAGAGACACTCTGTCTTAAAAAAAAAACAAAAAAAAACAAAACAAAAAAAAACCACCAAAATTCAGATTCATTAACATTCAAAATGCACATTTATCTATTTTCTCACTGTAAGAGGAGAATAAAACGAACATTCTGGCTCACCTCACAGAGATATCATGCGAACAAAATAAGAACACTGTGAAGAGGTTGTCGTACTTTTAAGCATTGATTGAGCATTAGTTTTCAGTAAATGATCGAATGATTTACCAGTCTATAAATGAACCATTGAAAACTGATGGTGACTGGAACTTCTGCCTGCAGTTAGGAGGGAGGGGAGTATAGAGGGTGGAGATGAGAGACATTTGTCTGGGCATTTGTTATTATATAACACTAGGTCCCAGTTCAAAATACATCCTGTACTGTTGAGAATTAAATGTATTAAGTCGTTTTCAGGTCTGGTGCGATAGAATTAGCTGCCAGGTAAAAATACAAGAGCAGGAGAAATTATGTCAAAACCTAAGTTCATGTTTTTCATACTTAAATAGCCTAATACAACTTAATCTATTTCATTACAAGGGGAAATAGTGGAAATAGTATTGATTGCATGTAGAAGGTTGCTGTATGGAATAACTCTACCTAGAAACAAAAATTAGACTCATCTCAACATTGAACCCACCTAGTAACCAAATTTATCCAGAGTTCTATTTTCCCTAGGACGTAACTATCAGGGGTCAGTATGCTGCTTATGTGACAACCCTATCTATCATTTTTGGGAACTCAAAGGCTCAAAGGGAGACATGGGGGACCCAGGTATGCCAGGTGAAAAAGGAAGAATTGGACTTCCTGGATTACCGGTATGTTTATACTTTTATGTTATATTCTTATTAAGATCAATTAAATAATCAAAAAACAGTTATATTATTAGCTGCAATTTAATCTAGTGGTTCATCTAATATTTTTATTTTGAAATACTTGAGGTATTATTTGTTAATTACTCTAGGGAACTCAAATTGTAAAGCATGTAACCAAATGAATTATAAAGTAAGCCTTCATGTTTTCCTGAATTGTTTTCCCTAGAAGATAATAAAATAAACTTAGTTGGCCACTTTAATTTAGTATGCATAAGATGGTGGTAACTGGTTATTAGAAAATAAACCATAATAAAGAAATGAGTCAAAAAATATAGGGCAATTAAAAACAAATTACTCTGGAAAGTGTCCTCTGTGTGTATGATTCTATGTGATAGCGTTTTATGGTTTTCCTCATAATTCTTACTGAGAATTTGGAGGAGAAAATGTAAAATTGTTTTTAAAAATGCAGTAAACTTCACTGCCTTAGACTTTTTTATAAGACAAGGAAGTATATAAATGTCAGTAAAAACTAAGTTAAAAGACTTACCTTTGCTATTTAAATTGCACATCACCATAAAAGATATAACATTTATAACTCAATATATATTTAACACTGTAGAACTTTAACCAATCAAGCTCAAACTCATTTTTATTTACACTGTATTTTATTTTACATGTCATCCATAATCCTAGGGATTTTATTAAGCTTGCTTTTTTAAGCTAAAATGCAAGGAGATAAATCCCTTTTTTCTGTAGCAACTGCATAATATTATAAAATGTAAAGAGAACAATGGGGTTGGGGAGAAAATTCAGTTGTCTCTTACATTGGAAATAAATTTGCTTAACGGTTATTTATAGGGAACCAAGGGCATGAAAGGAGAAAAAGGAGATTCTGGAATGCTGGGTCCACAGGGTCTTTCTATAAGTCCATGGCAGCTGAACTGCCATGGTTCCTGAACCTTCTCACATGCTGACCTGTTATTTACCTATTCCACCTCTGCCAGGTAGGTGCCAGAACAACATTACAAAGACCTTAAACCTCTTGGTTTGTCAAATTATAGAAGAAACATTCATCAGCCTTGCATAGTGACAGACAAAGTATCTCAGAGGTCTGAGGAAGAAGCAGGTTTTCAGAGGACTGCCTAATTCTAAGGAAAAAATCAATGGTTTTCTTATAACAATAGGATATACTTGTTAGTTTCTCCAGAGCCCTCCTTATGCTTAGTGAAATATTTGAGTTTGATATAGTGACATTATAGCATTTCTTGGTAATTAATTGCTTCATTTTCTTTTAACATACTTTTGATTTATTCTGGCTTTTGTAGAACTTTTTTTTGGAGTTTTGTTTTTTTTATTCTCACAAGGGAATTTCTAAATCTAGAGAATCAAACACATCACTTATTTCAGTATTTTTCTTCCTCAGCAACTACTAATGATCTTAGCAGAACCCCAGCACAAGATTCAAGTTGAACTGCCTTATCTAAATGAAGTAACCAAATACATTTTTATTTTTTGGACATACAGATCATAGGCCCAGCAGGCCTACCAGGTCTCCATGGCCCACCTGGCCCCATGGTAAATTTTCCTTCTTCCTAAAATGTAATTGCTTATTTATGAGCATGTTACTAGAGAAAACATGAAAACATCCCTCTAAACAGCCAGCTTGCATTTTGTACTCTTCTCTGTGGAATGGATGGAAAATACCAGGTGATCTGAGATAAACTAACTTTATCATGTTGTCTTTCACTCTCCCAAACACATATGTTGGGAAGAGTTAGAGTAGTTCTCTTCTACGACAGAGGTAAGGAAAGACAGATCTAGCAAGCTCTACTATAACCTTACAGCATGAACGCTGGCAAATCATTTTATCCAGTCGCTGCTGTAACCTGATACAAGTAGAATAAGATTAAGAATCGGCTGGACACAATGGCCCATGCCTGTAATCGCAACAGTTTGGGAGGCCAAGGCGGGCAGATCATTTGAGGTCAGTAGTTACCAGCCTGGGCAACATGGTGAAACCCCATCTCTACAAAAAAAATACAAAAATTAACTGGGCATGGTGGTGCACTATTGTAGTCCCAGCTACTCAGAAGGCTGAGATGGGAGGATCACCTGAGCCCAGGGAGGCTGAGGCTGCTGTGAGTTGTGATTGTGCCCTTGCACTTTAGCCTGGGAAACACTGAGATACTATCTCAAAAAAAAGAAAAATTTATAAACATAGCCATTAAAGAATGTTTCTTACAAACTTTGAGGTTTGAACTCTTTAATGAAATGTTCAATAAAAACATTTTTATATGTGGTATCAAAACATCACATTGTATCCAAAAATATATAGTTATTATATGTCAGTTTTTAAAAAGAGTATTTGTAAAATAGTATCATAAAAGTTGAAGCTTCCTTCCACAGATAATACATAGTGTTAGATCTTCTGCTTCTCACTTTTATGGTACTTTGATCGATTCACTGAGCCAGGGCCAGTGCTTACTGCAGGTGTCTTGCAGTGGCCAATGGAGACAGTGACCCTGCCCTCAAGGAACTGAGGTCCAGTGAGGAAGGCAGTCATTAAGCAAGTATAATTCTCTAAATGACAAACCAGTGACAGTTGTGTTAAGGTTAGAATGCCAAAGGCAGAGTGTTCAAATGCTTTTCACTGAGGCAGAATAGGATCAAGTCAAGCAGGCTAGATGTGTCTCTAAGGTGTTAATAAATCAAAAGACTTCAGTATTACAGAATAAATAAATTGTGGTCACTCTTTCTTCCCATTGCACTCCAAGAAAGAGCATTATTGGAATGATCTAAGTCACAGAAGGTAGGCAGTCATCCATTTCTGACTAGCTCCATTTCTATTGCATGACATAAACAATTATTATTGACCTTCTTTTCTCTTTTTTTTTTTTTTTTTTTTTTGAGTCAGTGTCTCACTCTGTCGCCCAGGCTGGAGTGCAATGGCACGATCATGGCTCACTGCAACCTCTACCTCCCAGGCTCAGGTGATCCTGCCACATTAGCCTCCCGAGTAACTGGGGCTACAGGCACATGCCTGGTTGGTGAACCACGCCCAGTTAATTTTTGTATTTTTTGAAGAGGTGAAGTTTCACCACATTGCCCAGGCTGGTCTCAAACTGCTGGGCTGAAGTGATATACCCACCTTGGCCTTTTAAAGTGCTAGGATTACAGGTTTTAGCCGCCTTACCTGGTGTGACCTTATTTTCTTAAAACTAGATGGTTCATTAAGAATTAAGCAAATGGCATACTTTCAGCTTTTTAAAAATACTTCCTCTACTGGAAGATAGAAGGTTAAATTTAAAAAATGCTACATCCTGTTCATATCATAAAATTAACTAGCCTAAAGGAATTTTAAACCTTCATTAAAATGAGATGAGAATGCCTGATAAAGTAACAGCCTTTTCCTGAAAACGTTTATCTGAAACTATAGAAAAGCAAAATATTATTCTAATGTGGACATATGTAACAAATATCTAGGCACTGCTCAATAAAAACTTTTTTCTGCAGTTTTATAATTTTACTGACAAATATTTAAGTACTCCTTTCTCCAAATAGTTTGCTTAAAACACTTGAAAAGTTTACAGCAATCCGCGGTAAACTTAGTTAACTTGTCTAGTCTCTGTATTTAGATTTTCTATGAAATACGTCTTTTGTAATCTTGATTCATGCATGTATTATGATTTTCTTCCACCAATAAACAATTACAAGAGCCTTGAAGAATTTGTTTTGTAAAAAATAAATGTAAATAATAATGCTTAGCTTTCCTACATAGTAATCTTTTATTTAATCTTAGACTGAATAAATGATGTTACAGAATCCCTAACTTGGGTGTCAACTCCTTACTAGTCTCCTTTAGATTCTTCAACACCTTGGGTCTGGAGGAGTTAATGGAAAATGTCTCCTCTTCCCTGGTACCTAAAGTTTGGGCCTTCTCTTTGGCAAATTTCTCTTTCAAGTCATATTTTTATTTTATTTAAACTCATGAAACATCTCATGTATTCCACTCAGATTTTTTTAATGGTAATTTGAGTTCAGAATATTTTCCCCACTTCTTTCTTCCATGTATCCCTGGCAGATTTCTTCCTCCTCAAAGGTATTAGCAGACAGAATGGCTATTTTTTTTTTAATAGTAAGAAACGTACAACCATATTTATTCAACTTAAGGTGAGGTGGGCAGGGGAGAGGGAGGAAAGCACATTCAGGAATGAGTTCTCAAACTAAGGCTCAGAACTGGTGTCCAGTGACACAGAAACCACCTTCCCAAATGGTGGAAACTTTCCTTCCCTAGGGATAGTGGCAGAGGCAGTGGCGGCCACCACAGCACTCCTGACTCCTTCCTCCAGTCCCGCTTTCCATTTCTATTCCTTTTTATTGGATGATATTCTCAGAATCAGGAATTATCACTATCACCTATAAGTTACTGATCAAGTTGAAAGTTATTAAAGAAAAGGAATATCAAGAGTAGCTGCTCACATTGTGGGACAGGAAGATAGGATTTGAGGGCTGGCGAAAAAAAACAAGGAAGATATACTCCTGTCCCCAATTTTTTCCTAAGTTAATTATTACTTCTTAAGGGCAAAACTATAATGGATAGCTGAGTAAGACTATGCTGAAAACCGGAGAGGACCCAGAGGTGTTCTTTCATTTTCTCTTTTACCTCCAATCTTTTCCCTTTCAAGCTACAGGTAGAAGCTCCACCACCATTAAGGTATTAGCTTATCCTATGAATTTGATTCTTTCTTTATTCTTCTAAGATAGTTCTTTTTTCAGTCCATCAATTTTTGTGCTTGATATAGAAAATTTTCAGTTCAGTAAAATTAGAGTACAAGACAAACCATAATCTGTACGAAGAATTAAAAACCTAAATATGTCAGTGGATCATAAGTATCAAGTGACAACAAATGGATAGATTAATTTGTGTAGGGCTCATGACCTCTGCTTATTACCTTTAAATGACTGTAAAAGAAAGAATAACTCTTTTGGCAGGCTAATATTTGGATTTTATTGATCGTATCATATCACACCATCAATCTCCAAAAATGTTCTGGGCTGCATATATGTTCTGTGTATGAATCTTGGAAGAATACTCATTTGCTGTCAATAATAGTTGTTTCAAAAAGTGAAATGATATTTTACTCATCATTTTCTTCTTTTTCCTTAGCATGTTGTGTTAGTTTCCTAAAGCTACCAGAACAAATGACCACAAACCACTTAAGACAATAGAAATTTATTTTTTCACAGTTCACGAGGCCAAAAATTCAAAAGGGAAGTAGAGTGTGATTGATTTCTTCAGGAGGCTTTCAGGTAAAATCTCCCTCTTAGCTTCTGGTGGTTTCTCGCTGTCCTTGGCATTCCATGACTGTAGACAGCATAACTCCAGACTCTGCCTCCCTTGTCCCCTGGCCGTCTTCCCCGTGGGTGTCTGTGTGTTCCCATGGCCTATTTATAAGGATACAGCCATTGGCTTTAGGGCCCACCTGAATGCTCTGTAACCCTGTCTTAACTAAGTGCATCTGCAGAGATGCTGTTTCCAAATAGCTTAACATTCTTGGGTTCCGGGGTGGACATGACTTTCTTCGGGACACTATTTAACCCCGGAGATATGCATAATTTTTTTAAGAAAATAATGAGTTCTGCCTCTGCTAAAATAGTCTCTTTTCTTTTCATTAGTGTTGATTATTATAAATAGCACGGAGAGTTGACAGACCTTTAAGTACTTGTGAACGGCTACACTGCGGGAAACAAACGGGGGAGTGGGAAGAAATAAGATTTGAGAAACAGTTCAGGGCAAGATAATAGAAGGGCATATACTTCATGCTAAAAAAAAAAAGTGATTTCTGTTTTGTGGAAGGGAAAAACAATAAAAATTTTAATTTATTAGTTGTCTGTTCTGTGTCAATAATGTACAAAACCATTCTGGGTATAATAAGCTGAAGAGTCATCGGCTTCATCTGTATCACAGTGCAACGAGAAACCAATTCCTGAGACAGAAACAACTGGCAAAGCGGCACATTTGGGTTTGTCAAACTTGAAAAAAAGCAAGTAGGAAACAGGTCTCGCCAAGCTGAAATATTCCTAGCGTAAACAAAATAATAGGATAAAAATCTTTTGATCTCTCAATGGGATGACACGAAGAGATGGCAGGAAACAGGATTCAGAGCTTTGCCACATTGGAAAGCATATTATCAGTTACCAAGGTTCCTAGAAGAAAGGAAAAACACTGGAAAACGAGAAAGGTAGTTGGAGTTATAAACTTGGTGTTGAATTAAGGAGAGAGATGGAGGAAGGAAAGAATATACCAACTGGAAGAGCAAGAGCTGAAAAAACAGAACTTATGAGAACATTTTAACTTTAATTGAGGACTGTTCAGTGAAACAATAGAGCTCCCCCCACCGCTTCTCCCTCTCCCCTTGGTCTTCTTCCCACCATCTTCGCCCTTTCTCCCCACTTTATTGTGCTCCCCACTGTATTCTTTTTTTTTCTTTGAGACGGAGTCTTGCTCTGTGGCCAGGCTGGAGATCAACACCGCGGTCTCGGCTCACTGCAACCTCCGCCTCCCAGGTTCAAGCGATTCTCCTGCCTCGGTCTCCGGAGTAGCTGGAACTGCAGGCGCGAGCCACCACAGCCGGCTAATTTTTGTATTTTTAGTAGAGACAGGGTTTTCACCATGTTGGCCGGGCTCATCTCGAACTCCTGACCTCGTGATCCGCCCGCCTCAGCCTCCCAAAGTGCTGGGATTACAGGCGTCATCCCCCGCGCCCGGCCTTCTCCCTACTGTATTCCGTCCCGCCTCGCCTCCGCGTTTTCTTCCAGTTTTCTCTACCACTCCGTCTTCTCCCTGCGCTTTCTCCCTCCTGCCCACCTTCTTCTCCCCGTCTCCCACCTTCCAAGGTCCTTTCCACCCTCTCCTTCCCCTCCTCCCCCTCTCCCCGCGGCCTCTGGGCCCCCAAG